TGTCTCCTAACAGACTTTTAATTGTTGGAGTTAATTTTAAAAGGTGCCCTGGAGGAGAGGATTCCAGAACTGGGGCTCTTGCTGACATCCCCTGGAGGGCGCACCCAGCCCACTTACCCATCTGTCTCTATCTGAAAGGCGTGCCTCCCGGCAGGGGCTGCGTCTTTATTGAACTGGTTTTGTCCTGGTGCCTTGCACACAGTAAGCACTTAATAAGTCTTTGTGGAATGAACAAAGGAGTAAGTGGTTGCTGTGAGGAAGAGAAAGGATCTTTGAGCTCCTGAGGGTGGTTTTCCATTTTTTCCCTCTCTGCCCAGAAGAATTCTCTCTTAGGATCACACCTTTGGGGTAAAATGTTCTGATAGTCACTGAGGGTGACTTACAAGTAATGGAGAGAAAGCCATTCAGAAGCAGCTCAAGGGATAAGGGAGATACTGAAGGGGCCAGGAGGGGCTCCCGTGGGTCCCCCAGGGCAGGAAGGGAAACACAGCTGAGCCACTCAGTGGGAGGAACTGGGAAGGAAGGCAGAAGCCCCATCGCTCTCCATCTCCCCAGGCCTGCCCAGTAGCCGAGACTCCCCTCTGGGATCCCCCATCCCCTTGGGGACCAACCCCCGAAGAGGGAGGGATGGCTTTTCTCTTTTAACTTCAGCTGAAATGAAATCCTTCCTCTGGTTCTTTGACCATGGCTAAAGACAGGCTGGTATTTTCAAATTTAACTGTATTTTTTATAAGATAAAAAGTAGGAACAGAAAAAATACAAATAGCAGAATCAGTTTTCTGGAGGGCAGGTTTCAAATACTAGGATCACAAAATAACCTCACTCTGATCTCTTGAGGGACAGGACAATTCTACCCTCACCGTGAGGTGCCTCAGGTGGAAGTCATAGAAAATGACTGTACCAGACTTTGGGGGAGCCCCTTTAACAGAGCCTGTCCAGAGCAGGTACTCAGTGAATAGAAACCATTCTATTCTCCACCAAGAGGAAAGGTTTATCAGGATGTTTTATTCCCTCCTAGGAGGAAGAAAAAAGTCCCCCAAAGACAAACCTTCCTATAAATCAAGCCCTTTGGGTCTAAGCCTTCTCTCACCTGCCTTCCCCCAAGCTCATCCACAAATCCTGCCAGTTTCCTAAGAGGCTGAATAATTATTTGAAATATTAAACTGATGTGTTCTATTGCCAAGTAGCAGCATCCACTGAGTCAATGTCGTCGAAGCCCCTGGGGAGGGCAGCTACAGCCTAGAACAAAGAAGTCAATTGAGCTGCTGAATGGATTTTTCAACTCGAGGCAGACAGAGATACAATAGTCTATGAGCAAAGTGATTTTGATTGGCAAGATCTAGAGCTTATGGGAGAAACAGTTTAGCTTTAAATACCAAAAAGGCTTAGCTTAAACTTGGGACTGATCATTGAATTTTTAGAAGTTAACCATAGAGCATCTGGGGATGTAGGAGATCATAAGTGTTGATTGAATTAACCTTTCTCCACGTCCAAAAATCTGTCTATGCAACTATACTTTCATTCTCATGCAATGCTTCTAATATCAGATTAAAGATTTAATGAGTAACCATAGTTAACATTGCGCTTACCCAGTAGCTTACCACGTGCTAGGCTCTGTTAAATGTTTGGTTATCATTTAATACGCTCAGCAATCTGATAAAGGGGTATCGTGTGATTGTCCCCAGGTTACAGATGAGCACATGAACATTGCCCAATACTAGCCGGCCCCGTAACAGCACCTCTCTCTCTCCATCGAGCCTCTCTCCGCAGCTGCTGCTGTAGTCCAGGTTCCTGCGTGTGCTCTTCTCTGGGGAACATTTATTGACACTTCCGCTTGGGGAGGTCCAACTTCTCTCATCCTGAGGTTCCCAGGGAGAGGAATCACACCCTCTTCATGCCACAGCTAAATCTGTGCACACTTTGAGGTTTGCACTTTATGTGCAAGACTTTACTATTTGGGTATGTCGGTCCCTCTTATTGTTTGCGCCATGAGTAGAGGGTTTTTTCTCTGTATCTCTGGAATCTAGCAAATGCTTGGCACATACTAGAGATCAAGGATGGTGAAATAAATGATTAAATGAAAGTATGAATGAAAGAAGTTAAGCACAGGGCAAGCACTGGGGGTATTGCCCTACCACACAGGAAGACACTCCTTCCTGGGAAGTTGGGGAGCTCAGGAAGCCAGATAGCCAGGGTCTAGAAGGACCAGTTATGCCTTTTCTCTTTCCCCCACTCCCAGTTTTCACTTAGGGACCAGATCCCTGGGTGGGGGGCGTGATAGAGACCACCAGGTGAGTCAGCTGGACCCAAGGCAGTTTGGGCCCTGCTTCCTTCTGGTGTTTCTGGATGTCCTGCAGAGCAGAAAGGAGCCTTTAGGCAGTGAGAGGGCCTGAGATAGCACCTCTGGCAGTAGCTGTCCCCTGCTACCCTTTCCGGTTCCTGGCCTGTGGCGGGCATCAAGGAAATCAGAGAGGCCCTGGTCTGAGAGATGAGGGCTGGTGGGACAAGTCGGGGTTAGCAGGTGGAGAGCAACCCAGTAATCAAGGTAAGTAACATTTTAATCTAATACTTAACAAAAATCAAATTGGCAAACCATGGCCTTTGGGCGGGCTACCTGGTTTTGTACATAAAGTTTTATTGGAACCAGGTTGGCCACAGATGGAGAACCTAAAGGGCTAGGACTGGAGTTACCCGCGGACTTCACTGGCCTGAGGATCTGCCCCAGGGGGTGCTGGCTGTTGATGGGGGGCTCTTTCTGCTCCATGCTGGGCTCTTGACAGGGACACCTGAGTGTCTTCATGGCATGGCCAGAGCCAGCAATGGAGAGGGAGAGACAGACAATCTTATAACCTAGCCTCGGAAGGTACCCACCATCACTTCTACAACATTCTATTAGTAAGTCATTAAGTCTGGTGCACAGTTTGAGGACATTTTTTTTTAAATCACCACAAGAACAAAGTTAAGTTGAATTATTGAGAGAGAAAGTCCTGTTCCCGCACCTCCCAGGGGTGCCTGCGTTAGTTTACACCTGCTCCATCCATTCTAAATTCTTCCTGAATCTGACCATCCTGTCTCCACTGCCCCTGTCTTCGTGTGGGTTACCATCATTTCTCACTAAGGGTCTCCTAACAGCTGCACATCTGTGAGGATGTCTCTGCCTCCTATCTGTTTTCTACCCTGAGGGCAGAGCACACGTTTTCTAAAATGCACGCAAACCATATCACCCTCCAGCTTAAAATCACTTCGTGGCTTGCTTTTTTTTTCCTTTTTAACATATAACACACATACCATAAAATCTACAATTTTAAAGTACACAATTCAGTGGTTTTAATTTTCATAGAATTGTACAACCATCACCACAGTCAAGTTTAGACCACTTTCATCACCCCCAAAAGAAACCTGGTGCCCATTTGCAGTCACTCCCTATATCCCCTCAACACGCCCCGTCCTGGGTAACCACTGATCACTTTCTGTCTCTGTACATTTGCCTATTCTGGACGTTTTATCTAAATGGAATCAGGCAATATGTGGCCTTCTATGTGGCTTCTTTCACTTGGCATAGTATTTCAAAGTTCATCCACATTGTGGCACGTGGCTACTTCATTCCTTTGCACGGCTGAACGATGTGCCACTGTATTTTTAAATCGCACTTGGTTTATTTATTAATTGATGGGCATTTGGGTTGTTTCCATTTTTTGGCTATTATGAATAATGCTGCTATGAATATTAGTGTCCAAGTTATATATGGACAGCTATTTTCAACTCTCTTGGGGATGTATGTAGGCGTGGAATTGCTGAGTCATACGGGAGCTCTACCTACCATCCTAGTGGGTGTAGCGGCTTTTCGTGCTTTTGATTTGCATTTCTCTGGTGGCTAATGAGGTTGAGCATCTTTTCATATGCTTATTGGTCATTTTTAGTTCTCCTTTGGAGCTGTCTATTCAAATCCTTTGCCCATTTAAAAATTTGTCTGTGTGTGTCTGTGTGTTTTTATTGCTGAGTTGGAAGGATTTTAAAATAATACACACCTATTCTGCATACTGGACCCTTATTGAAAGGCTTCCTTTTGTCCGTCAGATGAGTTTCAGTCCCTTCACCTGGCCTGCAAGGCCCTGTCTGATCGAAGCTAGCTTCCTTCTGGGCTCTATTTCCTGCTGTCCCCTTCCTTGCACTGCTAACCTTTTTTCACTTCCTTGTCTGTGAGATGCTCTCTGTTAGGACTGGCCTTTTGCAGATGCTGATCCCTCTACCAGGACACGAGTCCTCACTCTTGCCTGGTTTATATCTCCTCCTCCTCCACTTGAGGTGGCTCCCTGAGGTCTAAGAAGATGGTGAGAGCAGGCAGGGTCCATGGCTGACTGTGGTCTGTGGGCAGGGCCCAGCCTCTACGGGCAACCTGGATTCTGGTCTTGTTGATGACAGTGAGGTGGTGGAAGCTGGCTGCAACCCCAGCCCAGTGATTCAAGAGGGCAGAAGATACCTCAGGGTCACAGGGATTTTAAAGGTCACTTGGGCCAGCTTCCCGCCCCAAATTTGGAGCCTCTCAGCAGCATCCCCATCTGGCCTGTCCTGTGCCTGGATGCTACCAAGGATGGCAAAATCAGCATGCTGGGGTTACTCAGTATTGTCTCTGGGAAAAAGGGTTAGTGTATTCATCTGTAGTCAGACAGCCCTGAGCTGGAATCCTGGCTCTGCCCTCAGCCAAGGAATCTAGCGCAGTCTCCTTAACTTCCATAAGCAGTAGTTCGTTTAACCTGCAGGTGGGGACTAAGTAGTAAAACCCACGTCACGGGACTGAATTTTTTGGCATGGAGCAGGCAATCAGCAAGGTTAGCTCCCTTCTTCTTTTATTAGGAAATTGGTTCTTATATTGAACTTGAACCTGTTTCCCTGAGAATTTCAAACACTGGCTTTGGAGCCATGAGGACCTCTCTCTCTCTTATCCATAAACGTCTGGTTCACATTTGGAGTCAGTCCCCCTAAAAGCTTCTCTTTTGCAGGCTCAACATCTCTACTTCATCCAGCTGCTCAGCCACAGCCACTCCTGCCAATGGGAGCCTCAACCAGACATCCTTGCGAAGCAAGCCCTTACATGGACAATGGCTGGATTATCCATGGTTTCAGGTCATTTCCAGCAGGATGGGAGTCGTGTCTGATCTCCTACACCTTGTAGGGCCCTTTGCACATGGTAAGTACCCAATAAATATATGTTAACTAAGCCTGCCTCCCTTGGTACTCCATCCCCGAGTCCCTCCAGCCTTCCTCAGCTGCTCCTCGAGACCAGGGAGTGAGACAGGCAGGAAATTGTACAATCGCTCATTCATTTATTCTTTCAACACTTACGGACACATAGAGGTGAGCCTAACACTGGGCCAGGGACTCTAATAAGAAATCTCTTAGTTTCTGGTGACTACAGTAGCAAAATAGCAACTACACACTAGGTGGCTTCAAACAACAGAAATGTATTCTTTCATAGTTTTCAAGGCCAGAAATCCAAAATCAAGGCAACTGACAGCCAAGTCATGCTCCCTCTGAGGTTCCAGAGGAGGCTCTGTTCCACGCTGCCTCCTACCTTCTGGTGGCATCCAGCATCCTTGGTGTTCTTGGCTTGTAGAGCCATTATTCCAATCTGTCTCTGTCTTCCCTTGGCCTTCTTTTCTGTGTGTCTCTGTTTCTAAATGTCCTTTTTCTTAAAAGGATACTAGTCATATTGGATTTAGGGGCTATCCACTCCAGTAGGAGCTCATCTTAACTAAGTGCATCTGCAAAGACCCTATTTCCACAAAAGGTCATATTCGCAGGTTCTCGGTGGGCATGAACTTTGAGGGGATGCTATTCAACCCAGGGCAGGAAACAATCCCTGCTCTCAAGGAGCCCACAGTCTAATGGGAGGGGGAGCAGACCTGTTAACAGGAGTGATGCAGTGATGGACAGCAGAGCGTGTTGGGGCAGAGAGCCTGTTGCACTGGGGCAGGGGGGTCGGGGTGGTGGGAGGAGGGGGAAGGTAGACCTCTGAACCGAACCTCCCAGGGGGATAGGAGTGGGTAAGGGAGAAGATATGAGATGGGCATTCCAGGCAGAGGAAACAGCATGAGTAAAGGCATGGAGAAATAAATGGCCTGGGGTGTGTAGAGAACTGCTAGGGGTTGGTGATGCTGGAGCATAAAGGGGGTTCAAGAAGTGATGAGAGTCAAGGCTGGGGAGGTAAGCAGGGCTGGGTGCCTTGGACATCATGGGCCTTATTCTACAGGTGATTGGAAGCTACTGAAAAGTTTTAGGCAGGAAAATGGTAAGGCCAAATATGTCTGGAAAGACTCTGGCATCTGGGTGGGATGGGTTGGAGGAGTATGACTGGAGGCTGTGTCCTCTACTCAAATTCATGTGTTGATATCCTACCCCTGAGTGTGAAGGTATTAGGAGGAGCGGCCTTTGGGCGGTGGTTAGGTCACAAGGGCGGAGCCCTCTCAGAGGCAGTTAGTGCCCTTGTCAAAGGACTCCAGAGAACACCTTTGTTCTCTTTCCACCATGTGAAGATACACTAAGAAGTTTGCAACCAGAAGAGGGTCTCTCCAGAATCTCACTATGTTGGCACCCTGATCTTGGACTTGCAGCCTCTAAAAGTGTGAGAAATAAATTTCTGTTGTGTAAGTAGTGTTTCGTGATGACAGCCTGCATAGATGCAGACGTCTATATTTGAGGTTCTTTTGAGTTTTACTTTGAGCCAATTGCAACATCTTATGGGGTCCCCCATTAACTGATGAAATAAATAAGATTTGGAACCAGGTTGGTTTTATATCTGTATGTGAGAATCATGATTTGATCCTTAAGACAAAAATTATTCTTTGACCTTTCAATCCCTCAGCTAACGTTTGTCAGTGGCTCCTGTCGCCTAGGCACTGTGCTGACAGCTGGGAATACAAAGATCAGCTTAATAGTGTCTGTGTCCTCAAAGATTTGGGCTGTTTAGTGCAGAGGCAGGCAGGGAGGGAAGTCAGTGGTTATTATGCATTGGCATTGCTGAGGCTGAAGTTGGAGGAGATGGCTTTCAGCAAAGGCTTCAGACAGGGTTGGGGTTTTCTCAGTGAGAAAAGCATGTGTTTTGAAATCAGACCTAGATTCAAGTCCTAGGCCCATAACTTCAAAACTTTGTAACTTTAGATAAATTAGTTTTCTTCTCTGTGAAGTAAAAATAGTAGCATTTCAGGCTTAAGGTTTTGAGAGAAATAAATGAGGTACAGAGTACTCAGCTTAGTGCCTGGTGTGTCATAAATGCTCAATAAATGTTAGTCTTCTCACCCCTTCTTGGCTGTGATTTCAGAAGGCCCCCAGTTTCTTTCTCTGCCTACTCGATGTCACCTGAAATTCCTTTAGGGGAGGAAAACCCTTTCACTCTACAGCTAGTGAAGGGCCTGCTGTATAAACAGCCTGGGACAGGAAGTACAGTGACTGCAACACATGTGAACGTGTAATTTGCTGATGCCAGGGCTTCTGCTTCGGGAATTTTGAGATAAGAATAACCCTTGCCTCTGAGGGCCTTGGAAGGCACGTTCACATCTCTGACCTCACTTAATCCTCCCAGCGCCTTCTGCAGGGGGCAGGGCCCAGAGAGATGAGCACCCTCATTTCACAGAGGAGGGGACCTGGGCTCTGAGCAGTGAAATAGTGAGCAGGGAGCCAGGCCTCAGACCTGGGTCTTTGGGCTCAAACACACACCCCATTCCTCCAAAGTTTAGGGTCAGCTCTGCTTGGAGGAGGCAGAGCCTCTAAGGGGGTAGGTTAGTGTCCTGTAATCTACAAACGGTGTGATTTTTTAACATTGGGCCTCAGTTTCTTCTTTGATAAAATGGAGATAGTGATGCCTATTCATGGAGTTGCTGTAGGAATAAGTGGGATAAAATTAGCAATGTGTCAGGCACAGTACTGGAGCAGAGGGCTGTGAGCTGCCTAAGGCAGGGACAAGTCTGTCTTGTTCACTGTTGTCTCCAGACATCAGTAAAGCACCGGGCACGTGGTGGGTGCTCCAGAGTTGGCGTTAAATGGATGAATAAGTGAGCAGCATGTGTGCAATACGTGGCCATCACTGTGATCATGGTGTAAGGGTGGGATTGCTGGTGGAACCGAGCAAGGCCGGGGACATGGAGGCGAGGCTGGGGGTGCTGGGGTGGCAGGTGTCTTCCAGGAGGCTATGGGGAAGGCAGGCTCCAGGGAGGGCCAGGGTCCTCTGGGCACTGGGGCTCTGGGCCACCCTCTGACCTGCAGAAAGCTGGACCCAGGATACTCTGCACCCAGGTGAAAGTTGTAGGCACACAGGGAAGCCCCTGAGGGCAGGGGGCAGACAGTAGCCCAAGTCCAGGCAGACCAGCAGAGGCAGCTCAGGGGGTTGTCCAAGGACCCTATAAAGGGGATCCTTGAGGAGGGCAGGCAGGCAGGGAGAGCTGTGCCGTGGCCCCTGTGCTGGGGTAGAGGCCACGGGGAGCCCAAGGGACCCAGGCTGCAAGCCTGTTTCCTGAATGCCGCCTCTCCTGTGCCCCCTGGGCCAGGGTGTTCCATCTAGAGCCTCCTCCACTCCTTCTCTGCCCTCAGGGCACCATGGTGTGTGCCCAGGCCCAGATCTCATGGATTTCTGTCTATTCAGATGCTTTGGACGGGGCCCGTCTTCAGCAGAGGCTAGTGGGGCCCTCTGTCCCTGAGCCGCAGAAGCGTCTGGTCTGTCTCCATGTCAGTGTCCATTTCTGTCCTCAGTGCCTGCCACCCACTGCCACTGGCCCCTCCCTGTGGTCATGTGCACTTGTTCAACTCTCTCCTGAAACAAAACGCACAAAACCCTCTTCTCCCCTGCCTGACCTGTCTCTTCAGGAGCACCTTATCTTTTTACCCTCACATCTTGTTGTCTTATGTTCTCAGCTCTCAATCTCTCTTCAAACCAATAGAAACCGGCTTCCAGATTTTATTTCTCGGGGTGGATTTGCCTCTGTCTCCGAAGTTACCAGTGACCCCCGACACCCTGCACCCTGTTCCTAAATCCCACGTGCCTGCTGACCAGAGGCGGAAGCCCGTCCGATTGCTGTCCCACTTCCCTCCGTGTGGACCTGGCTGGCCCCTGTGGCCTCCTCCGCTGGCCCCTCTGTGCCCACGTGGAGCTCTGACCTGGGCCTCTCCCTTTCCTGGGGGCGCTTCTGGGGTTGCACCCAGGCCTTCGCCCCCTCGTTCTCCCCGCAGGGGCTCATCCTCCCACGGCTTTAATTGCCCCCTCTAGGCCGGTGACTGCCTCTCCAGTATGGGCTTGTCTTGGCATCAGCAAAACCCATATACTGAGCAGGTGATGAACGTCTCTGCCTGGATGCCTCATAGGCACCCCCTTCTCCACCTGCATGAACTTGGGTGCATTATAAACACCCCCTTCCCACCTTCCTGCCTTGGTTTACCTAGTGAAAAGCCCCCCAGTTGCTGGGCAGAAATCTGGCCGTGGTTCTTGGTTCCTCTCTCTCCCCCTCCAAGGTCAGTCCTTCTGTTGGACTTGACCTTCCTGTCCATTAGGTTTTCCTTCCTCATTAGCTTCCCAGTCCACCCCCTTGTCCCCTCTCCTGGGGGCCCCCATCCTAGCAGGGAGCCTCCTTCTGTTGCAGCAGCCCCTTAGGGCTTGCCTCTGCTGGGCTCTACCGTGTGCCATCGCCGTTTGTCTGACATGCCCCGGTCCTTCAAGGTCCCCTCAAGCCTTGCCTCTTCGAAGATTAGTGTCAGAGTTAAAAGGGATGGTTCTGGAGCTGACAGATCTGGTTAAAGTACAGACGTTACCACTTACTAGCTCTGTGACTTTGGGCAAAATTTTTAACTGCTCTCAGCCCTCAGTTCTCTCCTGTGTAAATGCTGGTCACTGTGTCACAGATTGTTGTGAATCAAGTGTGTGTCTCTAGCTGCTTTTGCATTCTAGAGAAAGGCGCTAATTGCTGGCAGGCAGACAAGGACCTTTGTTTTGAAAAATGACCCTTTTGAGTGAGACAGATAAAGCTCTCCAGCCAGCCCTCACTCCCAGAGGGAAACGGAGGCAGAGAGGGCCAGATAAAGTGGGCCAGGTGTGGGGGGACTGGAGGGCAGGGGCTGAGAGACAGCGCAGGAGGCGTGACGGCAGAGGAGGGACTTGCAGGGACAGGAGGCCTGGTTTTTAAATTTTGAGCTGTTTGCTCCACT